AGCCCTCTCGGGAGGTGGCCGCCAACTCAGCCCTCTTGCTGTGCAGCGGGAGGCGTGACAGGGCCAAGTCTTCCTCCTGCCTGCACAGAGGCACACGCTGGCAGGCACGGCGCTGGCGGGCCTCCCCAGGCCTGCACAGGCAGAGGGGCTGCTGGCGGGTGCAGAGAATGTGCTCGTGCTTTCAGACCACCGCAGCCGCTGCAGACCTGCACTGTGGCGACCTCACACCTGAGTCCTCCACCCTGGTTGCTCTGCTGTAGCCTCTGAGTCCCCACGAAGCAGCAGCCCGAACTGCCCAGCCAGCCAGCCACGTCCGGCACAGTGCCTGGAGGTGGAAGCAGCAGGCCCCGTGTGGGGACCCCAACATCCGCAGCACAAAGCCCCCCTGGGTGGGGCTCAGAGCCAAGTGGCAAACCTCAAGTGCCCTGATGTTCTAAGCCACAGCCAACCCTCTCCCTCCCCCAGGGCGGGTACAGCACAGACCAGAAATGTCCTCCCGAGATGCCTGGTGGGGAGGTAAATGTGCACAGCTCTGAACTGGAGGCAGGTGGAAAGCCAAAGGGCACAGGGAGGAAGGTGAGTGCCCCAGGCCAGATGGCCAGCGGCTCTGGGAACCAAAGACCTCCAAGGTCCTGAAACATGGCAAATTGCATCTTTTTTGACTTGCCTTCTAGTGCTTCACAATGGTAAATCTGCCACCATTTTCCAGGCCATAAAAAGCAAAGAAAGAGAAGCCGTGTGCTACCTCCTCCCAGCTCAGCCCCCAGGCTTGGGCCTGGCAGGTGGTGGCAGGAGAGGCTGGGACCTGCCGGAGCGGTGTGCCTGCCACCTGCCCCATCAGGGATCCCAGGTTCCTGCCTGGGCTGCCAACCAGGTGCAGCCGTCTCTATCCCCTGCTGCCGCCCCACAGAGCTCCAGCAGAGGGGCGGGCTTCCGGGGCCTGGTCACGGAACCCCGTCAGCCCCGTCAGCCCCGAGTGCCAGCAGAGCTGAACCTGCTGGCAGTGCTCCTTCCTCCCCCCGGGACACAGCGCAGTTTCTGCCTTTGGTGAGCTGAGTCCTTCCCCTAGATCCGCGCTCCCCTGCGCCTGCTCTGCTCTGGGTGGAAATGGAAGCCACACCGGGAATCACGCAAGGCCAGGAGCAGCGTGAACACAGGCGCATGCACACAAGTGCGGCAAGGCGTGTGCAGCGTGGCACTGGGGCCGGGGCCTGGCGGCCAGAGGGCGCCTCCCAGGAGCAGCTGCGTTCGCTTTGCCTTTGAACTACGCCAGTGGCCTGCACCCAGCAGAATCCTAGAGCCAAGGAGCTGAAGAACTCCTCATTTCACATGAGCAGAGGTTGAAGTTCTGGGTGGGAGTTGACAGCCCGGATGCCCGGGGGAGTGGAGGCTGGTGACAGGCTGCCTTCAGCAGGCAGCATGTGGGAATTCACACAGACCCACACCCAGCACCCCAGGCACGAAGGAGCCCTACACCCCACTCCAACAAGTCACCCTGGACTCACCCTTCTGCTGACTCTCCTTCCCAGTCCAGACACCTTCAAGGACACAAGGCAGGTCCTGCCCTCCCCAGACACTCAGCTGTTTCCCCGAGCCTTGGTCTGGCCCAGCCCACCTGCTGGTCCCACGTCCCCACTGACAGGCGCCCTCAAAAGCTGGTCAGGCCTTGATGACATCTGTGCCCCAGAGATGGCTGTAGAGCTTTCTCTTCCTCTCCCTGAGTTTTCTGGAGAGCAGATGCAAGCACGGGGAGATTGACTTGTTCTGTGCACAAGCTGCTCTTGGAAAGCATTCAAATTCCCCGATTTTAGAAGAAAATCAGTCTGCAGTCCCTGGTTTCGTTCTGCTCTGAGTTTGAATGAAATTGCAAACAGGATAAGAGACTTGTTTGACTCACACTCTGATGCCACCCACGGGCGGTCAGTACTCTCTGGCACACTGACACTGAGGTTCCACGAGGCGGTCGGGAGAGAGGGAGGTCACTGGCCTGGGTCTGATGGCTTGGACTCCACTGTCACGCCACCACGCCCCTGCTTTGCCTCGGCCACCAGCAGTCACCAGCAGTAGGAATGACAGTTCCGTTCCAGCTCACATGCCGAGAGAAGATGACCAAGCCGGCCACTTCTCCGGAGGCCCCAACCCTGCTGCTTGTGTAGTCAAGCGCCTGGGCATCAGCGGACATGCTGGCAGGCCAGGGTTGGGGTTTCCTTTAGTACAGAAACCTGGTGTCCAGCAGCAGTGACCAGCCCTTCTTGGTGTTTGGGTGGGCCCAGCCCCAGCTCCCTGAGGCCCCAGTGGGCCGCCCTGTGCTCCCCAAGCCCAGATGCCAAACCCTACTTTCTACCAGAAAGAGTTCAAATGCTCCCCATTTGCAGTGCAACATTCTCCCCTAACAAAATGGAAAATTCCACTTAGGAGGAATAGTGGCCACCTTCACTCAAGGGCAGCTCTCCCAGGTGGGGGCTGCAGACTGCAGCTAGTGACCATCTAGAAAGCAGACAGACTGGGCAGGCCGAAGCCTTTTCTCCACAGAGCTGGTGTGACCACGTCAGAGCAGCAAGGCCTGGCTGTCTGCACGTGTGGGGACCTCTGCTGTCATTTTCACAGTGAGGCCCATCCGCTCCGCTCGCCTTCTTTCGAATCTGAGAGCCATCGGCGCAGATGTTCCCTGGGGGTTGCCTGCCACAGCAAGGGAATGCTGAGTCCCTTTCACCCCATGCACAAAGAGCACACTGAGAACACGGGGCTAGGAGGAGCTGCCACCCCTGGGTGCAGCCTGGGCTCAAGGGGCAAGGGTGCCCGCTTCCTCCATCACTCGGACACATTTGCTTTCAGGAGGAGCCGAAGGGGGGAAACAAAGAAAGGGGATTTTTTTTTTTTTTTGCGCCAGGTTGAACCAATACACCCCCCCCCAATAATTTTTCCTAGTCACTAAAAAAAGGTATCAAAATATTTGCTTTTGTCCAAAGATAGGCAATATCCTAAAATGTCTTCCGAATAATACTTGGCTATAATTTTTCATTCACTCCTTTTCTAAGTCTTCTAGTACTATAACTTTTTAACACTTTAGTGCCACACATGACAGGCATCAGTGCACCCACCACACAATCATTATCGAAGTCCCAGTTTAAGTGAGGCTTCTCCACAGAATTCTCCACAGTAGAAACCATACATGTAGCGGGACCATCTTTGCCCAGCGACTGGGCCTGCATGGGTGGTGGCCACAGCAGTCACTTTGGGACTTTTTGTTTTAACCCAAGAGACAGTTGCATTTTCTGGTTCTGTATAGCTACTCATACAGCCGGCATAGGAATTCACACCCTAAATGTGTTTTCTTTTCCTTTAGGGAATTTCACAGAACAGAAAGGACTCAGGTGAGGCCAATCTCTAGTATCTCTCTCACACTCAAGAGTGGAGTCACCGAGAAATTTTGCATAACTCACCCTGGACCTTTGCACCCAAGACTTGAAGGGCCCCCCTTGGAACTCGAAAGGGGGCAGCCCAGCACAGCCTCCAAGAGGAGCGCCCAGGAGGGCTGTCAGGGCCCAGGCAGGTGCTCTCGCCACTCCTGACCGCGCACACACTGCCACAGGGGCTCCGGGCAGGCACACTGCTCCGGGCAGGTGCTACGGTGAGGCCTGGCCTAGCAGTGAGCTCCTGCTTACGTGGAGAGAAAGCCCTTTTGCCTACAGACTCTATGAGCAAATAGCCGAGCCTGGGGGTGGGAGGGCAGGGCTTCCCGCCCCTCCACCCAGCCCTCCTGCAGGTCCAATGCCCTGCAAGGCCCAAGGCCAGCAAGGCTGCAGGAGGAGACTGCCTGCCTTGCTCCCTGGGCTCTGAACTGCTGGACTGGGGAGCTGAAACCTCACAAAAGCACTTTTGTGTGGCTTCACTTCCCGTTACAATCACACTGCCAAGAACTACAACACCACGGTGAAACAGTGTAAAAGCTGATACAGACTTGATAGCGGAGCCGCGAGCAGGTCGCCCACACAGAGTCCGCCATTTGGAGGGACTCTGCGTACCTGGCAGGCGGGCCCAGTCCTCTGCAGCAGCCACCCCACAGCCTCCTGCCTCTTCAAGCCCTCGTGGCCTCCCTCCCCAGCTCCTTAGGAAGCCTCCTAGCCAGTCAAGGAAAAGCCTTCGCCCCTCCATGGACCCCCAGCCTTGGTGCCCCAGGCACAGCAGCCGCCTGGGGTCCCCCAGTTTGGGAGGTCAGAACCTGTGGCTGCCGCCCACACCAACTTCTGGTAACACCTGACACCTGGTTTCCAAAGGCTTCTCCACTTCACCCAGCCCCAAAGGACATTTGTTCTTTCTACATTCAAGTTCATTCCCAATTAGAGCTGATAAAAAGAGGAGAAGCTGATGCCCCTGGGGGTCTGGGAAGCTCCACGATGCATTCTTTTCAACAAATGTTCCCTTTCAAAATTGAGGAGGGGCAGTTAGACCAAAGCCATTAAATTTAAAAGATAAGGCCTTCTGCAGAGATTCCTTCCCGAGAAATGGCCCAGACTTAACAAACTTTCAGTGGAAACCTGACAGCCCTTCATGGGGCCCCAGAGTGCAGCCCCCGGGGCTGCCCACACTTAGCAGAAACAAAAAGGGGTAGGAGAAAACTCACTCCAGGCCCCCTCCTGTTCACCCGCTCTGGACCGCCCCCAAGCCTAGCCTGTTCACCCTGCTTCGCGCTGTCACGGTAACATTAACACACCACCTTGTCCCCAAAGACAGGACCAAAAGTGAGTGCTCCCAAGTGCGCCTCTTCCGAGGGCTTTCCAGGGCCGTCCGCGCCAATGTGTGCATGACTGACTGAGCGGGTGTGAGTGTGGCTGTGAGTGTGAGCGTGGGCTCTCTCCTCGGTACCGGCGGGGGGCGCAGGGCCAGAGTCCCGGCGCACCCACCCGCGCTCCACGACGCGCCCGGCTCGCCAGCAGCAGCTTTTCAGCCCGAGGTCCTGGCGGCGCGGCTGCCGCTCCCAGGCTCGGCCGGCCGGCATGCTACCTGCAGCCACAGGTCTCCACCACCATGTCCTCGTACTGCTTGTAGACCACGTTGTTGGCGGCATCAATGTAGAGGATGCTGATGGGGCTGAGGCGGGCGGGCACACAGCAGGAGGCCGGCGCCGCGTCGGGCGCCATGGAGTTGAGCAGCGTCTGGATGATGGCGTGGTTGGTGGGCTCCAGGTGCGAGCGCAGGGGAAAGTCGCAGACGCCCTCGCAGTGGTACGCCTCATAGTCCAGCGGCGCGATGATCCAGTCGTCCCAGCCCAGCTCCTTGAAATCCACGTGCAGCGGCTTGCGGCTGCAGCGACTCCGGCCCCTGCGCGCATGACCCCGACCC